GTGGCCGTATCAAAGCCGTGATTGGTCAGATGTCGATTGCAACGGTGTCGGGTTAGAGAAGTGCTCCGCTTGTCACCTCTCACTCTCCGCGTGTCAGCGGGGGGTGCGCGGAGAACTGCGCACAGCAGCTGAGGCCCTCTGGGCGGGGCCCCCTGTGCAAGGCGGGGCCCCCTGTGCAAGGCGGGGCCCCATGCAGCCTGCGTGACTGGCCTGTAGGGAGGGGCGGCCCTGAACATATGTCTAATTACATTTCTCTTTGATATATTAAAGAGGCCTTATTATCTATTTCCTGTAGTGTGTTATATAGATTTGTGTGCATGTAAATGGTCTGCAAAGGCTAAAATCCCAAAGTTTCCCTCCAGAGGGAGTTTCTCTCCCACACTCTCCCCCCCCCTGCCTGAAACGCCTCCATTAGACTCCTTTGTTTACTTCAGCAATATAGTGACATCACTATGCAACACTCGCACTTCTATTGGCTGGTACTCCAACACATTGCAAGTGATTGGCTAAGGGGCGGGACATCTCTCCGAGGTTGACCAATCACAACAGAGCCGGCAAGCTAGCCAATCAGAGCAGACTGGGCTCTGGTTTTCAGAAATGATTAAATCATGATAAAAATCATTTTTTCAATATGATGCAATTATATATTAAACTGCATTACTGTATAGGAAATTGTTAATATTTTACAAGCTAGAACATCCATCAGTAATAATAGGACACTATTTTAACATATTTTCATTTATCCAATTCAACATTGACGAGGGATATGTAGGGCTGCTGCATACTTTATACTGTTAAAAATGCATTTGCTGTCAGATTTTGAATGCAGGAGTTTAATTTGAAAAAAAAATGGTTTTACTGTGTGGTATAACTGCTTTTATAAACAGTACTGTAATACAAGTATTATAGTATGTTTTTCACTACTGGTGTTACATAAATATCTCATGGTTTGATCCCACTTGCAAAAGCATCATTATGCAGAAGAAAAAAACGTAAACATTAACTTATTTTTATTCTTGAGTTTCAAAAGAAGTGGCTGACTGACAGGTGAACATTAACCAAAAATCTTAGATGGAAAAACTGTCTGCAGGATAAAACATGCAAAACCACTGGCAAGTTCCTTGAGAAATATGGAGTTCTACGTGCACATCCTCACAATCAAACTGTCAATGTGTAATCAAGGTTAAGTCCACATTTATGAGTACATTTAAAACAAACATCTCCCTCTGAGTGAAATGAGTTACTTCTTGTTAAAAGGTCACAGCAACAAAGTGACAGCTTAATTTTCCATACTGCTCATTTTCCACTGGACTTTGAAGTCAAGCAAAGACATTTATGTAAATCATTACTGTCGCCTTCTTTTGATGCTCTCTACTGTGGCTATTATTTGAAATGTGTAAACACTTCCTGGCGGCAATCAGGGCCAGATTTTTTTGTTGTTTATTTCTGTGCTGGAGCTCAGCAGGGAAACCGATTTGGACAGCGCGGAGACACAGGCAGCTCCGGGCCATGTTTACTGTTCATATGGATGTACAGTCGGGGATGGCTCGGTTGCATAAACAGGCCTGATTTAGGCCTTGGATGATGAGGAGGGAAAACAAATGCTGTCAGAATCGATGGTTTGTGGTTGGAGAATAGAGAATCAGAGCCGACTGCCGAGTGTTTGTGAGAATCACGCATGCTGCCCGCTTCCTTTCTCTATCCATCTTTTCTCCTCTTCTTTTCTTTCTATCTGACACCGTCATGCACAATCACTGACCAGAAACTGGACCTGAGTGAGACAAAGGACTAAATCGAAAGGATGAGCTGATAGATTAGGAAGGGTACACACAACGACGAGTCCAGCTCACTGAAGTTGTGCCGTTTCAGTCTCCCACAACTCTCATCTCTTATTTCTCTCCCTCTCCATCTCCCAACAAGGGCCTTCTCTCACACGAAGATGAAATTGGGGCTGCATTAGAGAGCAGGCTATCGATTACCATACAACTCAACATTAGTGTGTCTCTGCGGAAATGTCACTACAAGAAAGACATCATGAGGAGGGGAAAAGAACCGCACGAATCGCAAGAATAAATTGTCTCAATAGCAACAACAGTATCTTATTCTGTGCTTGCTAGTCTATTCTGGTAGCCCAGCAACCTCGTGGTAACGCTAATAAATAGTCCTGCATTTATCCCCCACTAAAACCTATTTGTAATCTTGTGTACTTTGGCTTTGTACCATTATGTAGTAGTAGCAGTAAGTAAGATATAAAGGAGCTTTCAGATCCATTTTGAAACATTTGCAGCTATCTAAGCTAACCGCTGGCTGAAGGTTTATATTTACCTTTATTTATTATATCTATCAATATTCTCATCGAAAATACTTGCTGTTAAGATTTTGTCGATGTAAATATGACATTTGAATTTGTTTATGAATACGGAGAGCTATGCTATTCCAAGAGTTAGAAAACTCAGGCCGCCTAAAGTTAGCGGGAAAAATAGCCAAATAACAGACCTTTTGTCATTTAGTTTGAAGTTAGCATTATGTTCCGTACTTGGAGGTATATAATCTATTTTGTGAAATATAGTTTTAAATCTCGCTAGTTTATACCATTAAACTATATTTATATTTTTTTATATTGTTAGCAGCTGACGTCAGCTCTGTTATCTAGTTCAGCTTGTTTCAACAGCAAGAAAAACGGTTCCAGAGCGGCATTCAATGTCATGTCAGCAAGGACCAGAAATTCACACCTCGAGTCAATATCATGACCTTGTATGTCTTCCACACTGTGAAATTAAATGCGGGGGGACAACCATCAAAATAATTTGCAGTTTAAATCCATCGCCCTGCAGGGAGAGACCTCTCGCAGGGTCACGGTTTCATGGACATTAGTGAACCTCCGTGAAGAGGCAGTTTTGATCCACAAGCTTAAAAAGGTGCCAACGCACTCAGCCTGTGACCTCACACTGGGCCTGTGATTAAAACAAAATATTGATTTTTACACGCAAAGATTTAGTCCTCTGGTTAGTGGCGTAGCCCCGCTCTGACCTCCCCTAAGCAGTCAGAAAACAATTACCCAGCCTCTCCTCCCCAGACACTGGCTGGGTCAGGGGTGGCACTGGATTGTGGAGGATTATTACTTTCATAGTGGGATTCAGTGCAAACAGACCCCGGGGGAGGAGAAAGGGGACAGGATATGAGAGGAAGACAAGAGAAGGCTGACTCCTCTTTATTTTCTGTTATTTTCTCGCTGTCTTAGTCTCCCTCCTTCCTCTCTGTAACCTCCCCCTCACTCCCTACCTCCTTACACTCCACTCTTTTTCTTCCTGCGTATGTGTGCGCTTCACTTCCTGTCATGTGTAAGAGAGCGTGAGGTCACCTGCGGAGGAATAATTGGAGTTAAAAGTAAAGTGGATTAGAGCTGACTTTACTTTATTCCACTGTGGAGGCACCCTACAATTAGGTGTGTGTGTGTGTGTGTGTGTGTGTGTGTGTGTGTGTGTGTGTGTGTGTGTGTGTGTGTGTGTGTGTGTGTGTGTGTGTGTGTGTGTGTGTGTGTGTGTGTCAATGTGCATACTCGCGTACATTTGTGACTATGTGTGTGAGTGTGTATGTGCGAGTTGGCCTTCTGGGTACTGACCATGTGCATTGCGTCCTGGCGTTGGGGCAGTGAGGATAGCTGGGACTCTGAGTGGTAGAGGGTCATTCCCTTCCTCAGGGCACGAAGGTCACCTGGGTTGCACTGCTGAGCAAAAAACAAACACAAAAAAATTATTTAGCTTCACAGCAAAAAATGTAATCCAAAACCGAAAATAAAATCCAAATGTGATAACATCAGCAATACAATGCATATATTATCTACTTTGGACAAAGATATACTATATTTCCCGAAATCACAATCTGTTTCAGGGGCCTGTGATGATTTGAAACAAACTATCATAAACGTTTTTTAACACAATCCTTTACATTAATATCAACTCTAAAAGAAGCATGACATGGTTTGAAAATAGTATTATTGGGCTCTTCCAGACATTTAACAAAAAAACGAACCAACTCTCTTCTTTAAAAAAAATTGTTGTACTTTTAAACAGTTGGTTTACTTTTGAAGGTAAGCCCCCATGTTTTCCCTTTTACATCGATATTATTGGAATCATCGATCATTGCATCAATATATATCGATCCAGATTGACGGATATGATCGAGTTATGTATTGTCACTGCCCTTGGTTTTTGTTAGTTGACGAAAGACTCCATCTACGAGATTGCAAGCCATGGACCGATTACAGATTCTACATTATTTAGTCAGTCCCTGCCTGGTAGCTAACGCTAGCTAGCCAGCTGTCTTTAACATATCCACGCTGATGTCCTGTCAACACATACAGTGCAGATTAATTAGTATGCTCTAAACCAGGGGTTCCCAACCTTTTTCTCCGAGAGCCCCCCCAAATTACTCCTGTTGGAGGGTGCGCCCCCCCCACCACACACACACACACACACACACACACACACACACACACACACACACACACACACACACACACACACTCTCGACGACGACCGACGACGACCG